GTGGCTGTTTTTTGACTGTTTTTAGTTTTAATCACAGTTTTGGACCTTTGGGGTCTAAGAACAGGATGTGGTCAAAACAACAGTTTATTCAGATTATATAAATTATTAAAAAAAACGATGTTTATTACTGACAGATTGAGTAATGCCTTTTAAATAACCAGTACAAATATTTGGCAAAACTGCAAAAAGTACACTTGAAGTCTTCTGGAGCAATAGCTACTCTTTAAATATGCTGCTCGCGTAACCGCCACCGCTCTAGCCATCGTAGCACTGTATCATCATTCTGACAAAGACATTATTGTATCGGCTCTCTTATTATGTTTCCCGGCAGTGAAGATTTACTCAGAGATACTGTACAATAAAGTAGCTCTCAGGAGAAAATTCTCACTTCCAGTGTGATGCTATGATATTGTATTCATACTTTAATCTCCATCCTACTGCCACAAAATGGATCAGTGAAAACCTTTCAGAGCTCAGCTGCTGTGTCTCTACTCCCTGGTGGTTTCCTAATAGTCCTAATAAGAATATCAAATGTGCACAGAAAACTTGCCAGTGTAACGATCAATATTAATGTAGTTTCGACGGTATCAGCAACCTCTTTTTTCCAGTATATCTGGTTACACGATGTTATGCAACACATCTGAAAATAAATCTTTCATCATTGCTTTGTTAGTGTCTCTATGAGGCTTCCAGTGGCTGTTTAAGATGTCTGCATTCGCTTTGTTTTGGATATAAATGTAATCTGTAGATGTTTGTGCCTGTTTTTTTTTTTAAAATAAAAATAATAACCACAAAAAGAATGTGATTATTTTGCAAAGATAAAACATGACAGAAGAAGCAACAAAAGCTTTTGTGAGGCAAAGGAACGATGGATCCTGCCTTTCTGAAATACACATGATTACAGACTTAGTATGCATCCATTTAGAGAGACAGCTACAAGCCCTCAAAGGCTTTGCTGCTCATATTCATTATTTCTGAAACCCGGAGAGCAGGCGAGTGAAAAAGTAGGCCACAAAACCTTTCTTTAGGAAATTTCACATGAATGAAACTAAAGAGTTGTTACAACCCTCCATGGCTTAGAGCTAAAGGTTCAATCCAAATCAAACCTTGGTTTTTTTGTTTGAATTGCAATCTGAATTTGAAAACGACTTACATTATATGAGTCAAAAACCAAAACTTTCAGTATTTTAGATATGGTCAGTGTGAAAGTGAACTACAATATCGTCCTCTTTCAAGGTGCAGTTAAGATCAGGGGCTAAACATGTGGCACAGAGGCCAGAATTTTAAGATTTTAGGATTAGGCTTAAAACTTTCCTTTTTGCTAAAGCATATAGTTAGGGCTGGA